ACAGGTTTAGTAAGGCTATTGCCGTCCTAGTATGTTAGGCCTACTAATATAGCTCATTCGTTACCTTGAAGATGTGTGGTTCTGGAAAAGGTTCCATGTGTTCCTTGAACTTTTTAACTTTCAGCCAACATAAGCGGCTTAGCAACAGAACCATGACAACAGAAACAAGTATTATAATGTAGGTATACCAATTTTCTGGGAAAAAATTATCAAAGATGTTTTTCGCTACATATATTTCAAATTCCTGAATCAGATGTGGAGAACATTTTGAAACAATCAACTCAGCTTTGTTTTTGGGGGGTTCTTTTGTAACTAGTAATAGACTAAAGTGTGTTATTAGCAGTTACATGAATGCATTTTACAGTTGTTCATATATTTTTATTGATTGTAAAATGTGTAGAATAGGCTTGTAAACAGCGTCTTCTACAATTTGATTTTCGTGAGTTGATGATTCAGTTTTTAATGAATAATGAAAAATGATCGGAAAGAGAGCAAGGGGGCTTTTTCAGGCAGTAAAAACAACGTGACGTGAAAAGCTAAAAGCGTAAATGACGTAAAAGGGAACAGCGTGAAATGACATAAAAACCACTGTTCCCTGTAAAAACAAACATCCTGAATGACGTACAAGTAAAAAAAAAACCGCCTAAATGACGTAGAAAGAATGACTCACCTGATTCGGGGTTATCGTCAGACACTGGAATAAGGATCGCTGAGGGCTCTGTAGCACCCATGGCATTGTAAGCCGTGATATATGCTGTATAATTAAGACGCTTCTTCAATCCTGAAATAAATCGTCAACATCAACATTATCGTGTCGTTTTATTTATTTTGTCTACATTAAAAATAAAAACAATTTTAGAAAAGAAAGTGACAAAACATGACAGGTTTCGTCTGTACAACGTTTGCAACTAACCATGTATCAGAAATGTTGTTTTATTGGCTGGAACCTGGAAATTTTCAGGATCGTCTGATGATTCGATTTCACCAACTAATTTTATTTTGTAACCAAGTAGGATTCCTCGATGATGGTGTTTTGGGAGATCCTGTTTTGGAAAATTACATAATTGATAATGAAAATAATGTGAAAAACGATAGCTGGTTCTTGGTATAGATGCAAACTCGATATGCAAAAGCTAAATGTAAAAACCTAAGCCAAACTTACAATTCACAGATTCCTATACATACATATGTCACAGATTAATAGACCTACATATAATATGCATACATACATACATACATTTCCATCGACTTATTCAGAAAATATCGTAATCGCGGGAAAGGGAGGGATTTTAAACTTACCATCCAAGAAATGAGAACATCCCGATATGTTTTATAGTCCTTACTTTC